TTTTTTTTTTCTTTTTTTTTCACGTCCGTCAACTTGGCATGGAGCATATATACGAAAGAGGGCAGGAAAAGGAAAACCACAATCGATTGATCACTCACCCGGCTCCCCCCGGACCTGCACCAGCTGGTTGTCCGGGTGCGCCGCTGCGAGCGCCTTCTGGTCCGTGTGCGTCAGGTAGAAGTCGTCGATGCTGCAGACGAGCGTCTCGAGGCCCTCGTTGCGCCGCAGCTGTTCCGCGAGCGCCGAGACCAGCGTCGTCTTGCCCACGCCCTGGACGCCGTTGAGCCCGATGATGAACGGCTTTTTCTTCCCCTTGCCCTTGCCCTCTGCCGTCTCCGAGGCCGCAGTGTGCTCCCGAAGCCGCTCTAGGATAAACGGTATGCAGATCGGCGACTTGTCGTCGACGATGATGCCGCCGCCGCCGCCGCCGCCGCCGGTGCTCTGCGCGTTCTCCTCCATCCTAGTTCTTGTTCTTGTTCTTACTCTTACTCTTATCCAACGATGGGTCGAATGCCCCAAGTGAGAGACGAGCGAGCTTTAGAAGTAAGTAGGTAAAGCGAGCTTCAGCTCCGAAGCTCCGGTCGTTGATGAATGTTCACGGTTTAATGTATAGGCGGTAGACGGGTGGGGGGATGCGGATACTATAGGATACCTAGCGACCCGTAGCGTCGGTATTTAGATCGTGTTGCCGTCCGTGGGGCCCCGCATAACGGGCTCGGCCTAGTAGCCACGGTTAATCATGCTGCCGAAGGGATTACCTATAGGCATTATGTAACTTCAAAATAGGGGGACGGCTTTGACGACGACGTCATGTGCATGGTACGTCACTTCGTAATAGGAGAGGGAAAATCCCCCTTTTTTTCTACCTATATACACACATATATATCACGGTTTACTTACATAATTACACTATCACCACCAAAGACGAGTAAAGCTTATTAGTTACTGACTCAAAGTCATTTGTTTGCCCTCTGCCCGCCTTCAGTACAAATATCTATAGCTGGGGTGGTAATCACCCAGCCTTGCGATTTCCTCCTCCGTCTTGCCCTCGAGAATGTGATCACGTTCTCCACGGTCCCGCTTCCGGTTCTCACGCCGCAGCAGGAAGGATGTCGTAGCAAACAGGCACGCCGAGCAGAACACGAACGCCAGCGACAGGCCGTGGCCGAGCTTGTACTCGGGCTTGTCCTGCGTCCGGTAGATGAAGCTAGCGAAGATCCCCGCCGTGTTCCCAAGTGTCATGCTCGTGCCCTGCCCGGCCGCGCGCTTGAAGTGGCTCGGCAGGTTGTTCGGCATCCAGCTGATCGGGATGCCGACCGCTACGTAGAGGCCGCTGGCGATGATCATACACCCGGCATACTGTGCACCGGCACCATACCCCGGCGTCCCGAGCATGATCGCGTAGCCGGCGCATGCAGTCAGGCACCCGCCAACGGTGAAGTAGCCGCGGTACCCGGTCCTGTCAGAGTAATACGCGACGACGAGGTAGACAACGGCGCCGCACGCATAGCACGGAATCGTCAGCAAGTTGGATTGGATGCCACTGTACCCGAGCGCGCTGATGATCGTCGGCAGGAAGGTGCTATAGCCGTACAGCATGACCGTGACCCCGATCTGAGCCGTCGCCAGCGCCCACACCTTCCAGTCCCTCCACGCCTCGAAGCACTGCTGCCAATCGACCTTGTGCTTGTCGCCCTCGAGCCCCAGCGACGTGCCGTCTAGCCGCTGCCGGAGCGGCGTGAACGACTTCTCGCGGTCCGTCAGGTAGCGCGCGTCGTACGGGTCGTTCGCGAGCACCAGCCCACTAAGGACGCCGAACACGACGGTGGGCAGGCCCTCGACGATCATGAGCCAGCGCCAGGCCGCCAGGCCCCCGGCGGCAGCGGCGCCGTCCATCAGCCCGACGGCGTAGCCGAGGAGGCCGCCGCAGGAGCCGGCGACGGCGGACGCGGCGAAGAGGAAGAAGACGCGGACGGCGAGCTCGCGGCGGCGGTAGAAGAAGGTCAGGTAGAAGCAGATGGCGGGGAAGTAGCCGGCCTCGAAGGCGCCGAGCAGGAGGCGCAGGGCGATCAGCTGGCCCTTGGTCCGCACGAAGCCCGTCGCCAGGGAGGCGAGCCCCCAGCACACGGACACGGCCGGGATGAACCGCTTGGGCTGCACCAGCTTCAGGACGAGGTTGGTGGGCAGCTCGAACAGGACGTAGGTGATGAAGAGCATGGATACGCATAGCTGGTACTCGTTGCCCTGCAGGCCCAGGTCTTTCTCGAGGCCGTATAGGCGGGCGTTTCCTGAGAAATAATATGGCATTAGCATTGGAGGTTTCAGAGTCTGGAAAGAGAGACTAGGGTATTGTCGAAAGATCGAAGCCTACCGATGTTCACCCTGTCGAGAAACGAGAGGATGTAGAGAGCTATGACGACGGGGAAGATGTTGATGTCAAGCTTTCGCACCATTCGCCTCTCCTCCTCGGGGGTCATGTCTGCTCCTCCGAGATCGCCATTCTCGATGAGGTATGGAGAGTGGTCAACCTTGCTCTCGGCCGCGGCCACAAGGTGGCTGCGAGGTGCGGACTCCGCTACCATGTCAGGGGTCTTCGACTAGATTTTGAGATGGAGAAATCACATTTGACTTTGAGTGCCGGTCAGGAGAGGATGGGTCTTTAACTATAGTGATACATATGCCACGAGGGTTTATAACCCTAGAACCTCAATACACATACCTGCATACGCATGAAGACCTTAGTAGATTACTCAGACTGCAGTTGATGATACTGGGTCGTGCCATGCAGTAGCTCGCGTATTATAGCATTACCTTGTCCAGAACACAATGTGCGTCCACTTCCACATACAATACATGCTTACTTACAGCTTCAAGAGCATTTGAGTCAGGGGTATGTGTGGAGAGATGACAACCCCTAGTTGGGATGTTGTGCGATGAGTGGTGCTATCGGTCTGCCATGGCCGTGTTCCTTGTCCTTCAGTCATGGGGTACGGCGTTGAGGTTGCATTCGGCTATGGCACATCCCCGATGGTTTATATCACCAACAACTATAGTCCATGGTTTATCGGCCTTGGACCAGAAGGCCAGCATCTCCTAGCCGCAAAGCTTACAGCTGAACCGATATACTTTCACGTATGATAGCCAAATTCGAGTGTTTATACTCTACATGGAGGTATGTGCTCCCCCATCGAGGAAGATCCTAGCCCCGTTAACATAGTCGCTAGCTCGACTGGCGAGGAAAACAGCAATCCCCTTGAAATCATCCGGTGCTCCCCATCGCCTCGCTGGTATGCCACTGACTATCTTCGCATTCGCCTCCTCGTCGTCCACGAATCGTTGTGATAGGGCTGTGTGGATCCATCTACATAGGGCAACAGGTGCTGGTTAGCATACCCGGAACTCTCGTGGCCAATCTTGACGTAATGTAGAAAAAATCCCACTTACCCCGGATAGATAGCATTCACTTGGATGTTGTACGGTCCGAACTCGGTTGCGAACGCATCTGTCGCTTGGCCTACCGCTGCCTTCATCGGCCCGTACACGGAGAAGGTGGGCATGGGCTTATGGGCGGCGAGAGAGCAGATGTTGATGATCTTTCCTCCCTTGCCGCGCTCCCCCATGTGCCGGGCAACGCACTGGGACATGACCCAGGTGGCGTTGAAGTTGATTTGTATGATCTACTCGAAAGTGCGATGTTAACTAGATTGTTTACGAATTTCTCTGTGTTTTTACTTTATCCCTTTCTTTATTCTCACGATCAAACTTGGTCATGCGTAAGAGCCCGTATAACAAGAGCCCGTATAACTTACAGCGTCCTTGTGCTCATCGGTCTCATACAAGATCGGTATCGACCCGCTGCTGATACCGGCCACGTTACAAAGGATGTCGATGTTGTGTCCATCGTCGATAACCCGCTTTACGACTTGCCTGATTTCCTTGTTGCTTGACAGGTCGCAATCGTAAACAAAGACCTTGCGGCCCGTCGCAGCTACCAGCTGCTCGTGGAACCTGGAGCTATCCCCCGGGATCTGGAAGATGATGATGTCGGCGCCAGCTTCGGCCAGGCCCGTGGCCATACCGCCGCCTATGCCACCATTTGCCCCTGTAACGAGCGCTGTCTTGCCGCTAAGGTCGAACAGAGACAGTGTCGGAATGCCAGTAGGCGGCGGGATGGCCGGATACTCAGGAGGCATGGGGAACTCTGGGATGACCTTTGGCGGGTCCCTATCGGTTGTCCTATTTACGTCTCTAGGGGTAGTCATCGTAGTATGTATAATCTCTTGAGATAACAGAAAGTTACCTCAGGGTTGTTAAACAAAATAATAGTCAAGGATTCAAAACTCAGTCTCGACTAGATCCTGACGGCCAGGTTCGAGAAGGGAGAAGCGGCCTGCACCGTAGCTAAGTATTCAGACATACCCCGCAAGACAAGGGTCGAGTAATATAGCTATGCGGTATACACTTCATAATGTTCCTATGTAAGCCCGCACGTATATACGGAGAGCGCATGGGGGAAAGGAGCGACAGTAGCTAATACTTGGCAATAGTAGTTACCGATCTTACAAGCCTGCCCCTTTCTCTAAGCAGTCTAGCCAAGAATCTCTCCATAGGATATGGGCCGTAGCCGATGATCGACCAACTGACTAGGTGCAACTCCCCTCAATGCTTGGTGAAGGATGAGTGTCACGATCGTTTAGCCAGTTATTAAGAGACCGTGGGCGAACGGGCGGGGTCTCTGCCTGTATTATAGACAGTAGTTTGCGACAGCCCCTGAACCCTGACCTGTAGGTAAGAAGATTCAACATAGCAAGGCCGCTGACTCGACCTAAACGACTAACGATTTATCGGCTACTTCGACGGTTGCAGGCGATGCATACGCTGTTAGCTAGCTTCTAGGTAACCCTGCAAAAGACATTTCAAGCCCTGAACGCAAAAGCAAAGGGCTCTGGAAGACTACTGAAAATGATACAAAAAATAAAGACAAAAAAAAGCAAAAGTAAGGGCTTCGCCGGGATTTGAACCCGGGACCTGTCACATTTTGGATCACGATAATGGTTTACCGTGGGGAACTCCCGAAGCGACAATCATACGACTAGACCACGAAGCCATTCTTGGTTGAGTTTAAAGTCGTCATATAGCGTATTATATAGGAACATTGCTATAGTGCCCGGGGTTTCTCCGCTGGGTCGTACTATGATCGTCAGCCAGCGATGTCAGCATAACTAGTAGTAACGTTCTGGTCGGTTTTGTGGGGAATTCAAGGAGAGTGAGTTTGTGTTTCTTGAGCTGTTCATATTAACTCCGTACATCTAGCAACTGCCAGGCACGCAATATATTCGCGTACTTAGTATTACCTGTCTATGTACACGTAAAGACGCTTACCTACTCACTCCATCTCAGCTACATACTTAAGTTACGTTAGGTGTGCTTTGTAGGCAACTAACTATTCTCATGTGAACTGAACTGACCTGCTACAGAACCCGAAGAGGCTGTTTCCATAATTATGCCTGGCTGCCGGTTAGTCTAAAAAGGGGATAAGTATGGGTCTTTTATGCAAGGTTGAGAGTTCCCAGACGCTAGGACCGCTAGAACGGCTAGGTCTATTTAATTACAGACTACCAGTTTAGGTACCTAGTCCAGGTAGTCCAGGTAGTCTAGAATCCCTGCAGCTCCCACCTATCGGGGATCAACTCTACAACTCTACGACTGACTCTCCAACCTTGGAACAACTCTAGCCAGACGTCGCCCCCAATCATTCCAACGTTGTCATCGATATTCTACCAAACTTGTATCCGTACCCGTACACACTCTACACCTGCACTCGACAGGCCAATAGATGGTAAGGCGTACCGAGTATGAATAGCACAGACTCATAGCCTGCTGTCTCCCGAATACTTACCCGTTCGATCAACCGTCGAAGCTACCTTCTCGAATCTCACCTGCTTTATGAGACAACCTGCCACCAACGTAGGAAGGATGATTCGGGTACTTGACTACTCTTGATATCTAGCTCAAGACATCGAGATGTTCCTGTCAGGCTTTTTAGGATCCTCCTTAGGAAGGAATGATTCTTCTTCCAGTCCAGGTACCAAGCAGAGCAGAGCGCTCGCTGAACCATCCGATGATACCTCGAGACGCCGATCCCGAAGCCCCGATGTGTCCCATGGCGGCAGTCTGTACATTTCGGACGAGTCGCAGCTCCGGCCCATCGAACCTCCCCCTCGTCAGATCGCCGATCTCAACGGTAACCTCGAAGTCCTCGCAACGCTATTCCCCGACGTGCAGATAGAGGTGTTCCGAGAGATGCTCTCGAGCTTCTCCGAGGAGTCCAGGATCGAGATCGTCACGGATTTGCTATTGAGGAACCCCGGCGCCTTTGTCAAGGGCCGACGGAGAGCCACGAGCACGAGCAGCCCCGACCACAGGCCTGAGCAGCAGCAAGATGAGATCACGGACGAGGAACACTTAGTACCGCGAAACGAGGCATTCCGAGACGCCAGGTACAAGGAGGCCGTGAGGAACCTTGCCATGCAGGAGTTCAAGGGTCTCTCACGGTCGTCCATCGACGCCGTGCTGTCCGAGTGGAACCACGCGTACCTCGACGCACGACCGACCCTGGTCGAGCTGTTCTCCAAGTCTTGGAAGTTCACCATCTCGTCTATGCTCTTCCGCCGCAAGCCTCTTGCCGCCGATGCCGCTGAGACGCACCCCCTAGTCGTGTGGAAGTCGACGGGAAATGGCTCCATCGTGCCCACCATAAAGGCGACCGGCAGCGCCGAGCTCGACCGCGAGTTGTTCGCCGAGCTGATCGTGCCGCTGCAGCGCCGCGAGCGCACCGACCGCGAGGAAAAAGATCGCGCCCTCGCCCTGGCCCTGCACACCGAGGAGGCTGAAGCTTGCGATGCCACGTACGAGTGCGGGTGCTGTTTTACCGAGGCGACGTTCGAAGAGTTCACGACGTGTAGCAACATCAAGCGCAACAACAACGCCGCAGCCGGGGAAGAGGAAGAAGGAGAAGGAGATGAGGACGAGGATGAGGATGAGGAGGTACACATGATCTGCTTCCGGTGCGTGCAGCACTCGATCAAAGAGGCCGTGTTCGGACAGGGTTGGCAGCGCAGCATCGACCGGGAGACGGGCACGCTCCGGTGCCCGGCGGTGTGCTCGTCCTCCCCGACCGGCTGCTGCGCCGGCCGCATCTCGTCGCAGCACATGCAGCGCGCCATGCTTGATGAGCCGAAGGGCTTCGAGATCCTGCACAAGCTCGACCAGCGCCTCGCCGAGCACGACCTCGTCGCCAGCGGCTTGCCGCTCATCCGTTGCCCCTTCTGCCACTACGCCGAGGTGGACGACATCTATACCCCCGCGGATAGTACCACTGCCGCGGCGGGGGGCAGCAGCCGGTGGCGACCGCTAAGGCTATGCTCCGCCAACATCCCGAACCTCGTCCTTACGGCGCTCCTGGTCGTCCTCGTCCTGCTGCCCCTCGGCCTCCTCGTCCCTGCCGCCCTCGGCGTCTTCGCCCTCGCCTACTGCGTGCCGGCAGCCTGGTCCTACATCGCGGGGCACGCCTCGCGGGCGCTGCAGCGGCACCGGCGGCGACGACGGGGGCTGCGGTTCACGTGCGCGGCGGCCGGCGGCGGGGGGTGCGGGCGCTCGTCGTGCCTGGGCTGCGGGCGCGCGTGGCGGGACCCGCACGTGTGCCACGAGTCGTCGCTGGTGGCGCTGCGGACGCAGGTCGAGCAGGCCATGTCGCTGGCGGTGAAGCGGGTGTGCCCGCGCTGCGCGACGGGCTTCGTCAAGGCCGCCGGCTGCAACAAGCTGACGTGCCCCTGCGGCTACCGCATGTGCTACGTCTGCCGCGCCGACCTGGGCGCCGACGGCTACCGCCACTTCTGCCAGCACTTCCGGCCCGAGGGCGACGGCTCCCGCTGCGCCGAGTGCGCCCGCTGCAACCTCTGGGAGGCCGAGGACGTCGACGCCGTCCTCCGCCAGGCCCGCGCCGACGCCGTCGCCCGCTGGCGCGACGACGCGGAGAACCAGCGCGAGCTGTCCGATGCCGAGAGGGCCTACCTGCAGGATGCCGTGGGGAGTGGCGGCGGTGCGGGCGGTAGTCCTGGCGGCGACGGTGTTGGCGGTGGCGGTAGCGTGAGGTCCCCGCCCGCGGCGAGGAAACGGCCCGGGCTGCTCGGTCGCCTGCTCGCCGGCGGTAGGAAACTGACGATGGAGGAATTCTGCGATCTCGTTATCGAGGCCTTGTTCGCGTGAAGAAAGGGAAAAAAAAAATGAAGATGAAAAAATAATGATTTGTCAAGATGATCGAGCGTTTTTGTTGTTACCAGCCAAAGAAAGGAAAGAAGTAGAATAATGAGACTGCGTAGTCGAGTACCCTCCTTAGCTTGGCGTTTGGTATAGTAGAGGAATCCGGCGAAGGATGAAATTTGGGGGTCCTGTTTCATTTACTCTTCAAATGGAAACCAGCAACCACAGAATAACAAGAAAGGAAGAAAATGAGCTCGGCCAGTCAGCCGGGGAGTTACGATTAACTTGTTGATACTGGGTTACGTATAGAGGAATTCTGGCTATTACTGAGATTGAAGGCGTTTTGTCAGGAGCTATTGGAGTTTCATTAACATATGTTCCAGTACACAGAAAGAAACAGGGCAGAGCTGAGTAGAAACCAGAAAGGGGTGACAATCATACCATCCTCATCAACAGCGTTCATATCTTGATAAACACGACCGACTGATATATTATATACTGTGCCGCTGCCTTTTATAGCTTGCTAGGTACCTATAGACGTTGAATAGAAATAGAAAAATAATGATGATGAATCAATCAGCTGCTTCATCAAGTCCCAATCCCAAAGTGTTTTCATAAGCATGTCAAATAAATTCGAGGCACTACATAGTAGGTCTGCAAGGCATAATGCATACAATCAACTAAACTAATTCAATCCATCCTTACATACATATAATTCATTAATCTCGCTGTCAAGGATTCCGCCAAAAACATATATAACAAAAACAGGGACCGGCACCGTAGGCTAGCCAGTCAGTCCTAAGTATGAACCGCGCACTTAACAGCCATAGCCACTCCCTCCCCCTTCCCCCTAGCCTAGTTATCACGGTTGGTTTTCACTTGCCCCCTTTCCTTTCCATCCTTCTCCTCTCATCTCCTCTTCTCTCTAGCCTAACACTCTTGTAAATTGCCTACTTGAGAAGTTTCTTATCGATGAGCTCGGCGCCGCCGCCCGAGATGGCGAGCTTGCCCGTCTCCTTGACCTTGGCCTGGAAGACGACCTTGTTGTCGCCCTCCTTCCACATCTCGGTCACGAGGGTCTGGCCCGGCAGCACCGTGCCCGCGAAGCGCACCTTGATGCTCCGGAAGGGGCCGAACCGCTCGTACACGGCCTTGCCCACCACGCCCATGAAGCACAGCCCGTGCAGGATCGGCTTCTTGAAGCCGCCCATCTTGGCGAAGCCCGGGTCGATGTGGAGGGGGCTTTTTAGCAGGGGAGGGAAGGAACGTCAGTCTTTCTTTCTTTTTCTGGTGATGGTGTTGGCGATGGCTCAGACTTACTTGTAATCGCCGCTCAGCCGGTACACGGCCGCCTGGTCCTCGGTGGTCTTGGACTCGACCAGGACGTCGGGGAGGCGCTTGGGGGGCACGTTGGGGGCGGTGGCGGCGCCGCGGTCGCCGGGGCGGCGCTGGCCGCCGAAGCCGCCGCAGCCGCGGAGGAAGACGGTGGCCTCGTTGTAGAAGAGGTCGGCGCCGGTGTCGGCGTCGACGGTGGTGACGCCGCTCTTGAGGACGGCGGCGTTGCCCTTGTCGACGACCTCGATTAGCTTGGCGTAGTTCTTGGTGCGGGCGGCGGTGGGGACCGGCCACTTCCGCACCTCGAGGTACTGCTCGCCGTGCAGCAGCATGGTGGGCGAGAAGTTGGGCACGACATCGTCGAATCCGAACGGCATGGCCGCGTCGAACTGCGGCACCACCCCGAACGTCGGCAGCACCTGGAAGTCGTCGTGGCCCTCGTACACGTACCGCAGCTCCGACGACCGCGCGCCCACGCCCAGGTTGTACAGCGTGCTGTCCCGCTCCGTG